TGCAAACCTTAATTCCGGAATAGGGAGAAAGACAGGTGGAGCTGGTTCGCGCCCCCCGAAATATATTAATTTATCGGGGGTAGCTTTTTTTAGTTCCCTAATTCGAGTAAGAGCCAGTAGACATGTATCTCGAACTTCTTGAGATGGATCCGATTGGAAACTAGTCTCCAAAACTGGAACACTAGTCTCTAAACCAAATGCACCAAGAGATTCTGCAGCCTGTTATATAGACAAGAGTATGAAAACAGAGGAATATCCATTATCCAAATTCGAAAGCCCGATACCTTTAGGCGAACAATGGGATGCAAGGAAAGATCCTCTACAACAGCTTCTAATGCGGGGATAGCATCAGGTATATTCATCCGACCCAATTTATATGCGGCCTCAGATGCCAGCAGGGTAGAATCATCCCTCATTGCTAGAGCAGAAAATAAAATAAAACTTTTGTCAGTCTAAAAACAAATAATATAATTAAAAAGATAAAGATAAAACCGAAAAGCTACATCTCGTTTACATACGGTACCTTTGATGATGGAGTTGAGGGCAGGGGGATGGCTACCGGAAATGCTCAGTCCGAAAGCTCTAAATCGCTCTGAAATTGGTCGGTTTTCATCCAACAACAGATTGCATAAGAATTCCCCGGAAACCCCTCTGTCAAAAGTCATATTGAACGCAAATAGCAAGAGCAGGAGGAATTCAATTGCTAACCCTAGATCCCAAAATGGGAGAGGCGCGGAATTTTATGTTAGAATTTCCGTAATAACACATGACCTCCTTAGCTTTCCATTAGTGTTGAAAACGTTCTCATCTTTCATTTTTTGACATTTTTACCTCTGTTTTAATTTTTTATTGCGCAAATCGCTCCATAATCTGCAAAATGCCCAAATTTATTTTTCAATTAAAAATTAATTAAAAACCGTGTACACATGGACATGATTTAGTTCAGCCAAACATCTTCATCATTAATTTTTTTTCACTTATCCCTAAATCATAATTTCCTAAAACCCTAAATTCCCAAATCACAATTCACATTTCACAATACACAATTCAAAACAACAACATAACATAAATTCTCATTTCTCATAAGTCATAATTCAAAATTAACAAAAAAAAAAAAAAAAGATGATGAATAAAAATAGAAATACAGTGGTCAGTGTACTGTATGCACCCAAATATCCATAAATTCTCAATTAGCAAATAGGAAAGAAATAGGCAAATTCAAATAAATACCTCAGCAAGGCAGAATCGTCGAACGACAGAAATAGCAGAACGCGGGAGAAGCCGAGAAGAGACGAAGCGACCAGCCTCCGACTATTGCACAGCACCACCACGGCAGACGCCAGACTGTCCACCAACCATCGTCCTCCGAGTCGGCTGCACAAAAAATTCACAACCACAACCCAAAAAAATTTCGCCCTCTTTGTCGTCTCCAACTTTCCCTACTCCCTCTCTCAACCGGACTCAAAGCAAAAAGAATGGGAATTATGGGATATTTGGTTTTGTAGCTATTGGGCCATTGGAATTTGGCTAATAGAATTCAAGGGCCATGGATTGGGTTCATTAATTGGGCCTTTTTTTTTTTAATCAGGCCCAAAAAAATTCCCAGACTCATGCTTCCAATCTAGCTCCCGTCCACTCCTCCACGATCCAGCGCCTTCCTCATTCTTCATCTTTCTTCCTGACTGTCTGCCCCTGGCTTGAAGCTTCCGGTGGACCTAGCACAAGCGGCCTCGGGGGCTGGCCAGGTGCTAGGTCCACCCCTGCAAATGTCTGTTACTTCTAATTGCATTAGCGTGAGGTTTGATGATTCCTTGGAACATGATAAATAGTAACTAACCAGAAACAAAAAAAAAAATTAATGCACTTTGGCCACGTTCAAATAAAAACCGTATTCCATAGGTTTATTAACTAAATTGGAAAAATGATTATGTCAATATAATACATCAAACAGATGAAGACAAGTGAAAACACAGTTGGGGAGAGGATGTTGTCTCAGTGGAAAAAATAAAGACTAATAATTAGATTGTGTAATCTATGGTCAACTAAATATATTTTATTTATTGGAGCTTGGATAATATATGTTCGACTAAGTCCTTGTGATAGCTCTATAAAGTATTGTGACTTAATTACGATAATTATAATAGTTTTGGGCTTAATCGAAATTGCAATAATGTTTTGTACTTGGTTGAAATTGCTATCAAAATTAGAAACTTAATTATAATTGTAATTGAAGTCCTATGACTACACATGTAATTAAATGTAAACTTAATTATAATTCAATATTTTTTATTTTTCTCGTCGCTTGTAAGAGACAAACATAAACTTGAACGAAGAATGACGTGATGGGATCAAACGAGGGGATTATGACGACCGTCGAGGCTCGAGGTCAAAACGAAAGGCTTAGAGATAAAAAAAAAATGTTTGGGAGTAAAATGGGACAAAAACGAGTCATGTAGCAACATTTGACACGTAAGAAGACTAAGCCGCAATAAGACAGCTAGATTAACTCAGTAATATTAATCGTAATGATGTACATATAGGTAACATAAAAGAGAGATTATAATAACCGAATTTTTTTCCCATCTCCTTCTCTTTCTCTTTCATGTCATTTATCTATACATCATTATATACTTAATGATGTATAATTAGTTTTTTTTCCATCTCTCTCTCTCTCTTTCATGTCATTTATTTGTACATCATTATATACTTAATGATGTATAGCATTAATTAGTTGGTTGACCTCTCTCTAGTGGCTATCAATAATGGCCTATCGAATTTCTTTAGACAAAAAAGGGTATTTTCTACATTTTCCTTGTGCGTGAATTCCGAGATAATATAGGGAGGGGTATTTATGGCAAATTATTCTAAGGTTTGAAGTTCAGAGTATAGAATCACTTTTTGAAAATCGGAGGGGGATTGATCTTGGATTTTTTTTTTGGCTATAAAAGAGGGGAGAATGAAGATAAAAGAGAAACATTGAACAAAATTCAGGGAAGAAGGTGATAAAAGAGAGACTCCACAATTGTTTTTGGGCTATAATGTACACAGGCTTTCATATCTCTTGTTTTGTCTGAAATGGAACTACAATTTTTTGGGCAGATTAAACCTAATGCCGAGATTTGTAATAACCAGTTAACTGCAATTTCATTAGATTCAATTCAGTAAATTGGGTGTTCTGATGAAATCACGTAAACATATCATCACAAAAGATTATTACAAGACTCGTAATGCATAGAAATGTACATGTAACTGCATTGGGTATCAATGATATTTTGATAATCGTATAGACTTCTCATACTTTTGCCTCCTTATAGTATTATCCAAATTCGAAAGCCCGATACCGTTAGGCGAACAATGGGATGCAAGGAAAGATCCTCTACAACAGCTTCTAATGCGGGGTAGCATCAGGTATATTCATCCGACCCAATTTATATGCGGCCTCAGATGCCAGCAGGGTAGAATCATCCCTCATTGCTAGAGCAGAAAATAAAATAAAACTTTTGTCAGTCTAAAAACAAATAATATAATTAAAAAGATAAAGATAAAACCGAAAAGCTACATCTCGTTTACATACGGTACCTTTGATGATGGGGTTGAGGGCAGGGGGATGGCTACCGGAAATGCTCAGTCCGAAAGCTCTAAATCGCTCTGAAATTGGTCGGTTTTCATCCAACAACAGATTGCATAAGAATTCCACGGAAACCCCTATCAAAATTCATATTGAACGTAAATAGCAAGAGCAGGAGGAATTCAATTGGGGTACTTTTAAAAATGATCTAGTCAAAGGAGCTTATTTCCACTTTGACTTTTGTACTTAATCATATTTCCAAAATGACCCATTTGC